GTTCAAAGAATTCGCCGGGCAATCGAAGAGGCTCGCCGTATACTAGTTCTGCGGAAGACGTTTGCAGATCAGCCTTAAAAGCACTGCGTATGCCAAGTAGGACCCATGACAGTGATTCAGTCCAACCGCTGTCGGCATGACACATAATAGCGGCTTTTAACTGTCTATGAAATTGTTCGACTATTCCATTGGACGCAGGATGATAAGCTGTTGTGCGCTTATGTTGAAAGCCAGCAGTTCTTGATAGGTGTCGAAACAGAGCTGATTCAAATTGGCGTCCTCGGTCTGTGACAATTTCCTCAGGACGACCATAGCGAGCGATCCAATGGAATAGCAGAGCTTGTGCAACAGTTTCGGCTGTAATGTCGGCTATTGGTACTACCTCAGGCCATCGTGTAAAACGGTCGATTGCGGTGAGGCAGTAGCGGTAGCCTTTTGATAATGGAAGTGGACCTATGAGGTCTATATGGACGTGCCTAAAATGCGTGCGTGGTAAGGCGAAAGTACCCCAAGGTGAGGATACGTGTCGGCTCACCTTGGAGCGCTGACAGGCAATACAAGTTTTAGCCCAGTCTCGACAGTCCTTCCTCATACCTGGCCAGACGTTGCGTTCTGCTACAATTTGAGCAGAGGCATTTGCTCCAGGATGGCTCAGGGAATGAAGACTGTCAAAGACTTGTTTGCGAAGGGGTTTGGGTACAAATGGTCTACGGATTGGTGTACTTATGTCACAGTACAATGTAGTACTGCAACCAGGAATGTTGAACTGTTCAAAGCGGAGTGACGACGAACCAGTTTTTGTAAGCTGGGCAAGTTCTACGTCATTGGCTTGGGACTCAGCTAAGGTGGCGAGATCGACGGGCGCTTCCAGTCCCTCAACGCGACTTAAGGTATCGGCAACAATGTTATCTGTGCCAGATATATGCCTTATGTCGGTTGTGAACTGGGCTATGAAGTCTAACTGTCTATACTGACGAGGCGAGCAGTTGTCTTTCCTTTTATGGAATGCAAAACTGATTGGTTTATGGTCGGTATAGATGGTAAAGTGTCTCGCCTCCACCATATGACGAAAGTATTTAATAGCTTCATATATAGCTAATAACTCTCTGTAATATGGGGAATACCTCTGCTGAGTTGGGCTTAACCTACGCGAAAAGAACGCAAGTGGTTGCCATGCTCCGCCTTTCAGCTGCTGAAGTACAGCACCTATAGCCACGTCCGACGCATCTGTTACTAATGCCAATTTCGCTTCGTAGTCTGGATGGGCTAATAAAGCTGCGTTAGACAGACTACGTTTGCAGTCTTCAAAAGCTTTGATTTCTTTATCTGTGAAAGTTATTGGTTGGCGACCTTTGACTGCGCCAGTCAGGAGCTTGTTAAGAAGCGCTTGTGTTTGGGCGGCATCGGGTAGAAATCGCCTATAAAAATTAATGATACCCAAAAATCTCCTCAACTGCCGTACTTCCTTGGGTTGCGGGTACTCAAGAATGACTTATACCTTTTCTTCAAGGGGCTTGGTGCCACTTTCCGAAATACGGTAACCAATGAAAGTGACTTCATCAGCACCAAAAATACACTTAGAGGTGTTTATAAGCATCCCATATCTCTTGAGTCTGCTAAATACTTCGCGAAGATGTTTCTCGTGTTCCTCTTCATTTCGTGAAAATATTAGAAAGTCGTCAAGATAACAGTAACAAAATTCTAAGCCCCTGGTCATCTCATCCACGAATCGTTGGAAGGTTTGCGCTGAGTTGCACAAGCCGAACGACATGTAAGGGAACTCATAAAGTCCAAACGGTGTAGTAATTGCAGTTTTTGGGATGTCGCACTCACTGACAGGTATTTGGTTATAAGCCTTAACCAGATCGATAGTACTGAAGACCTTACAACCAGCTATACTATGGGTAAAGTCGTGTATATGTCTGATTGGATACCTGTCAGGGATCGTGCGAGCGTTGAGCATTCTATAATCTCCGCACGGGCGCCAACCGTTGTCTTTTTTTGGTGCGAAGTGAAGAGGTGATGACCATAAGCTATCTGAAGGTCTAGCTGTACCATTGGCTAACATGGATTCGAATTCTTGTCGAGCAATTTTGAGCTTGTCAGGTGCTAAGCGTCTTGGGGAAGATGTTACTGGTGGGCCTGGTGTCGTGCGAATGTGGTGTACAGTGTTGTGTGTTATCGTGTGTTGTGTACCAGCGGGTCGCGTGATTTCAGGAAACTCACCTAAAATTTTATGATACCGCGAGCTGCCAGTCGAAACCTTCACAGATGAAACAGAATTTGGACAAGAAATTAAAGATACATTAGTAACTAAAGTAGTTGTACTATCTATTAATCTTTGGTTTCGACAATCAACAATTAGGTTATAAAAAGATAAGAAATCAACACCAATTATAGCTTTCGTAACATCGGCTACCACAAAACGCCACTTAAAACTATGTCGCAGTCCAAGATCTAGGCTAAGGTGGGCATAGCCGTAAGTCTTTATGGTACTCCCGTTGGCTGCACAGAGTTCATAATTGGTGGCTGCACGACGATCACGAATCAAGGACCTTGGAAAAACACAGAGGTCGCTTCCTGTGTCGACCAAAAATTGTGTTTTTGAGGTGCGGTCCGTGACGAATAGGCGACTAGTAGTGTTAGGACAGTCGTCAGTCGCCATTAATGACCGTCCTGTAAGTTTCCCGCCTTAAAATCACACGGTGGCAGGCATTTATGTGCGCGGCCACCATATTTGGCGTGATACCAGCAAAGTGGGAATTTTTATAACGAGACTGCGATCTTGACGAAGAACGCCCACGCTGGTGGTGTCTGCTCCTGGAACGGGGTCTCCTATTTACCTGAGTTGTCAGTCTTTGCAGTTGCTTACGAAGTTCGGCAACTTCCCTTGTTAAGGCGTCGCAGCTAGGACCAGGTGTAGGTGTACTTGCCGCGCACGTAGTGGCGACTTGCGGTGAAGACGGTACAATGTCCTGTATCCGGTCTGCCAAATCTGCCAGCACTTCCAATGACGCGCTGGGTTGCGCGGCTAGCACGGTCTGGATACTCCTCGGCAAACGGCTGGTCCAAATAGTCTGCAGGAAATCGTCAGGTACTTTCGGTCCTGCTAGGCTCTGGAGGTGTCGCAAGAACTGTGAAGGCTTCCTGTCACCCAGTTCCTCGTGCATAAGAAGTTGCTTCACCTTCTTTTCGTGTGAGGTACTCAAACGCTTTATGAGCTCTGTTTTAAGCTTTATATATTTATCACTGGCTGGTGGGTTGATAATGATGTCTTTGACCTCTTTGGAAAATTGATGGTCTAGCTGGCCGATGACATAACTGAACTTTGTGGAATCGCTCGTGATACCAGATATAGCAAATTGGCCCTCAACTTGTGCAAACCATATTTCTGGTTCTTCCGGCCAAAAAGGTGGTACACGCACTCCTACCTTAAAAACTTCGGATGACGTATCGGAGGCGTCAGTGGAAGCGCGCTCTCCGCTTACCCCCTGTTTAGATTGTTGGGTGTGGCTGCCGCTACTTGCATCTTCAAATTTATCTCTGCGATCCATTATTTTGGTATTCAAAGCGGGGGTCACCAATGTGGGTTGCGTAGGTAAAATAAAAAGTTACTCACAGTCTTTTGGTATTTACTCCGAATTACAACGCAACACTATATACATACAGAAGGAGCATAGGACAAGCACAGACAGTTCGCAGGAAAGTATAGAGTACAGAGAAGAAGCAGAGAAAGTTCACAATAATAATTTAACAATAAAAACAATAATACGTAAGCGAGCAATTCTAAAGCGGTTAGCATCGAGCGACATGCACTTCGCGTCAGGAGCAGGTTCCGGTGAGAACGATGAGCCGAAGCAAGTGCCTGGGATTGCCTTGTAGTCTACGGTGAGTCGAGAAGAAGGAAAGTAATCTGCGAGAGTGCCGTGAAGCAGAGGCGAGCAGTAAGGCTCAGAGCCGTGCCGAACACTGTAGCGCAGAGAGTAGCTTGAAGGAACAGGAAGCATTATTATTCCAGTGCTGCGATGAACCTTTTTGTAAAGCTAGATGGCTTGCAGAATGTGAAGACTGCAGACAATGTCTGCTCGGGAGCGAATGAATGGGGTACTTGAGTAAGATGACGAAGTTTTTGAAATTGTAGTTTCCGAAGATTGTTGGTTGCGTGTTCAAATCACGTCGGGGTCATAAATGTGGGTTGCGTAGGTAAAATAAAAAGTTACTCACAGTCTTTTGGTATTTACTCCGAATTACAACGCAACACTATATACATACAGAAGGAGCATAGCACAAGCACAGACAGTTCGCAGGAAAGTATAGAGTACAGAGAAGAAGCAGAGAAAGTTCACAATAATAATTTAACAATAAAAACAATAATTCGTAAGCGAGCAATTCTAAAGCGGTTAGCATCGAGCGACATGCACTTCGCGTCAGGAGCAGGTTCCGACTGGCGGGAGGTCCGTAAGACTCGGACGATGCGCTGAGTCGAAAGAGGTGGCGAAAACTAAAGAATCGGTCTTGGTATGTTTGTTTCCATTTGCGATACACGTCACGACGGCGCGCTGGCTGAGTGTAATAACGTATTGTGTGTTAATATAAAATTAATGTACAAATACATATACATAATATTTTATATAAATATTATAGACATAAATTGAATACTGTTTAATATTAATAAATAAATATAATAGTATGATACTAAATAATAAATGTTATAAATACATAATTTTATAAATGTATGAGAATAGCCTACATGCGAAAGCGTTTGTTTATGAAAGTTGGTTCAGAACCTGTGTTTAAAATGTTTAGGTTAGTGCTAAATAAATATTCAACTAACACCTTACCTCCTTCATTCGGTCTTTGCATTCCCCAGAGGGGATGATGTGCGTTGGAGTCCGTCCCGATCACAACCTCTAGTCCGGTCCTCTCGCAGAAATTCACCAGCCTCACGAGGACATGAGGGGGAGGAGTGTCTTCGTCCGGCATGTAGACCGAGGCGACGACTAATCTTCTCTCCTGTGTATATTGTACTGCCACGGCATACATGTCTCTACAACAGCAATCTGTTAATAGTTGTGTACAGATATCTATAGTACACGCTCTAGGCTTGTCCTGTTCAGAGCTGTAGAATAGCTTACCTTTTAGGTTGTTTAGGCCTTTAATTTTACCAGCCCCAACCCACGGCTCCTGGATTAAGGCTATGGCCGTCCTTTGAACCTCCAACCACTTGCGTAATTGAGCCGACGCAATTCCGCTGTGGTGGAGGTTGGCCGGCACTAGGCTAATTTTGGACGAAGGGCACGCCATCATTGATCGCGTCCTCTCCGTCCCCGCCCAAAAATAACTCTCCACTGGGGGTTTCGGCTCATTTGTGCAGGCCGTTTTTTCACTGGACTTGGCCTCCAGTGATTACGCTGTACCGGTAACCATGTCTCCGGTATCCATAACTTCCGGGTTTTTTTTCTGCCTCTTTGCTTGGTGGAGTGTCAAAGAATTTACCCCCACGACCCTGGAATTTAAGTAAACTGCCCCGCATACACATGCGTGACGGCGTCCGGCCTTCACCAGGCTCGGGATATGATCCTCCGGCACCGAAACAACGAGGAACCACCCGTCCGTCTGCTTATCTCCCTTGAGTAGCAGCCAGTCTCTGATGTTAACCCAACGGTTCTGGTACGCCAGCATACAACCAATGTCGCGTGAGTCTTTCCAGGCTCACTGGGCATCAGGAATAAGGATATCACATTTGACTCTTTGTGGTATCTCCGACTGTTTTTTTTTTATATAAAAGCTCTTACAAAAATTTACTTCGCAAATATACGCGTTATAAAATAAAATGATGTGTCTTACCTAGTATGAGGAGCACCTCCCGCCCTCCCTCAATTGCGTGCACTATCCCCGTCACCACTAATCCCAGCACCGCTACTCCCAACACCACTACACTAGGCAAGACACACCACTGACGATAATACGACACGTATTTCGCCTCTACACGAGGCATCCTCAGGTGATATAGACTCTACGGTGGCTAACCGCTAAGTGAGCGGTGAGCCAAAACAAGTGCCTTTTATACAGACCGATGATGCAACCGCTCTCTACCTAAGGAGCGAGCGACTGCGTCATGCGATAAAACATACGACCAATCACCGTTGAACTTACGCAGCCTTTTGTAAAATTAAAAACAAACCGCCGCGCAACGCCCCCCCTCCAACCACGCAACCAATCGCCGATCACCGTGAGGGTAACAAACGACCAAATTGCGAGGCTCTATATTATTAGAGATCAGGCTTGAAGATAAAAAAGAGAGGTGAGTTAGTAACATTTGTTTGTTCATTCAGCAATGGAACGGTATTATTATTACTTTTTAATATCTCTAACTGTTCCAGCACACACAGCCGCAGCCCTTTATTACACGTATGTAAGACTTTAAAAGAGTGGTCGTTGGCTAGGTTGTGTCCAGTGTCCAAAAGATGTTTGGCAAAATGGGATTTATCGGGATTGCAATTCCTGTACGCGGCTAAATGCTCTTTATAACGTGTCTCGAAATTGCGACCAGTCTGACCCACGTAAACGGCGTGGCATTCGTCACAAACAAGTTTGTAAACACCTGACTTTTGACGTATATCCAACTTATCTTTACTATTACAGACATTTCTAAGAGAATTGTTTGTTTTGAACGCCACATGAACGCCGTTTTGTCGAAGAGTATTAGCTACTTTTTCAGATATGGGGCCTAAGTAGGTCAAACTGCTCACATATCGATGAACACTTTGAGGTTGAACCGCGTACAGAGAGTTGCGAATAACATGCTTTTGTTTCTTTTTAATTAAATTGTTAATCAGATTTTTTGAAAAACCGTTAGAGACCGCTATTTGATAAATTATATTAAGTTCTTTTAAATAATTTTCTTTACTTAATGGGACAGTTAACAAACGGTTAATGTAACAATAAAAAGCGGCTACTTTATGTTGCCACGGATGACATGATGACGCGGGGATGACCGTGTCGGTGTGAGTTGGCTTTCGATAAATTTGGAAAACATGTGACGATTCTTTTCTTGTTATTGTTAAGTCGAGAAAATTAAGGGAAGAATCTTTTTCCAATTCAAGTTTAAATTTAATTTTGTCATGGACTCTATTTATTTTATTGAGGAAAACGTTTGTCACCCTCACGGTGATCGGCGATTGGTTGCGTGGTTGGAGGGTGGGCGTTGCGCGGCGGTTTGTTTTTAATTTTACAAACGGCTGGGTAAGTCCAACGGTGATTGGTCGCATGTTTTATCGCATGACGCAGTCGCTCGCTCCTTAGGTAGAGAGCGGTTGCATCATCGGTCTGTATAAAAGGCACTTGTTTTGGCTCACCGCTCACTTAGCGGTTAGCCACCGTAGAGTCTATACCACCTGAGGATGCCTCGTGTAGAGGCGAAACACGTGTCGTATTATCGTCAGTGGTGTGTCTTGCCTAGTGTAGTGGTGTTGGGAGTAGCGGTGCTGGGATTAGTGGTGACGGGGATAGTGCACGCCATTGAGAGAGGGCGGGAGGTGCTCTTCATACTAGGTAAGAATTTTATAAGGCGGATATTTGCGAAGTAAATTTTTGTAAGAGCTTTTATAAAATGGATTTCCGCAAAGTAACGCCTGATTCTATTAATTATGTTTTTTTATAGTCAGCGAGATGTTGGATTTAAGGTCGAGGGTAGCAATATTCCCCTTGAACCAATCCTGAGCCTTCTGATCGTCGCACCACAGTTTCAGGACACCCTCCGTGTAAACGAGTTTGCCTCTAGAAACTGGGTCCTGGCTACTCCAGGCCTCACTCATCATTTTCCTCTGTGTTGCCACGAGGATATCATCTGCTACTTCCTTCGTAATGTGACCTGAACGCGCACATGTTAAGGCGTCACCCAAATCTGCTATAGCAGCGGAAGCGTAGCTTGTTATTGCAGCCTTTGGTTGCTGTTCGAGTCGCACTTTTTTTTGCTCTCCTCTCGGCGAGGTGGACTCTTCCAGCATCCTTTTGGCTGCACTTTCCTTCTTCCCAGGACGCTTGGCCGCTCGTTGCTTCCTGGCGGATATCTTAGAGTTGGTTCCCGCGGCCACGACTTCCACTTGGGCTGGATTTTTATCCTTCCCAACTTCAGCGCGGCTACCGATTTCAGCCCCAAGCACCTCAGTCGCAGTAGCTTGCCCAGCCTCCCTGGTTTTAGATTTAGAAGCAGCCAACGCGGCTCGTTCTCTTCGGCTTTTTTCCCGCTGCTTCTTATTCTTCTTTTTGGCCTTTCTTATACTGCCTGCAGGAATAGACCCTCCTGATGGTCCGTCAGGTCTGCAATTTACCTTTTTGGGTGCCTTGCCTTTCCCCTTACGGCTCACCACTTGCCAGGCAGCAGAGAAAAGGTCGTCCGTTCTATGAAGCTCCGCAGGAGTTTTGTTACTCGCGGGCTCTTGCTCCTTTTTCTCGTCTAGCTCCTCAGCTTGGAACTGGTTTTGGAAACGTTCAGCGCGGAAGTTGTCCCCTTAGTGAGGTTACCTACACTGGACGGTACTATCGGTGGAACCGTCGTTTTAATGGCGGTTCTTTGGTGTCTCTGGTAAGCACCTCTGACACCTCTCCCTCTTTCTTACTGGGCCTTAAATTATCCATTTAGCTTTGTGTTTAAAATTCGTCCCCCCGGCTTCCAACCCTCCATGGAGCCCGCACCTTTGGGAACGCCCTACTTTAAAAAAAGAATTTCAAGCATTAGGATTACCGGGAGAATATAGGGACGCGAAGTTGGCTCACAGCGCGACATCGGGAGCTCGATCCAGCTGGTAGATGGGACTGACAAGGCCCATCCCCACTACCCGAATAAACCATCACTTGCTCCGTCAGTGGTCTTTACCACCACCCAGCCCCTTTTCAGGAAAACTAGGCAGCCCCCACATCCCTCGCCTGCGACCCTCTGACGGGGCGCTTGGCCATTTCCCTATCGGCTTCTAGCGACGATCGGCTCAACCCTCCAGGACTCCTTCATCCCCGCGTACGGCATTCGACTGCGCAAGTCCTAGCGCAGGTGGGTGTGATAGTCCACCGGATACACCCACTATCTCCGACGGAACCGTCCTCTCCTCCTTTCTCATCCGGGCTTGGGACCGGCAATGGCGGAGTTTGGTACCAATCTCTTTGTGGTAACAATCAACAGTCGTTATGGCACAAATATTGGTTTCCGCTGTGATTCAAAATGAACGTTACGCAATCATCTGGGCATTTTACATTTTCTATTACCCCTTAAACACACTTTTTAATTCACGTAGGGGTGACAAAACGAGCATAGAATTTACGAAAAAGACGAAATTAACTAAAATTCAGGCAGCACGCAAAAAATTAAATATAAATATTTAGAAATTATATATAAATTTATATTTTTTTCGTAACATAGTGAATTAAGTCCCTCTTAATTACTGATGACACCAACACTCTTTATACACTGACTCATTGTTCCCAATGATAAATAACAGAAGGGATTTTAACTTCATTCTCTTTTAAAATACACTGACCAAATTTTTAATGAATTGATGCGGTTATCTACTTTTCATAAAGTAAAAATTTCATTAAAAAATATTGTGTGATTATGAAATAATTTTATAAAATATTAGTATATTTTACAGAAATGTTATATGTATTGTGAAATATGATAAAAAATGTTACGAAAATAACAGATTTATCACACTAACGAAATAAACAGGCTCTCACTCATCCTACTAGTAAGGAGCCGGTGCAGCCCGTATTAGTCTATTGAGAGGACAAACTTAAATACCTTATACACTATCAACTAAACTGGTTTTCTTTCTTATCAAATCATAATATATAAAAAGGCGTCAACCTAAAAAGAGAACCATACCTTAGGAAGTAGAAACTTTTTTTTAATTAAAATGTAATGAGAGAGGAACTAACAGTCCACCTGCAGCCAATTTCAAATTAAGAAGGGTATAGTTCGGTTGTCACCTCTAAGGAATGAGATGAAGTGCATCACGGCCTGTAAATGTATTGCCTCTCTGTACCTCTTAGACCGGAGCACAACATTGCATACCTTAATTAAGCGACTGAAATAGATGGTGACTGAAATAGGGTAGGTAACCCAGGCTGACTCTTTGTCAGTAAAGAACCAACTTGTAATCAACTTGGAGAACAAGCTTAAACGGTAATTATTAAAAACCCACTGTGTAAAAAAAGTTTACTAAAAAGAAAAAAATTAAACCCTAAATCACTTCCACAACTAAGTAAAATCTAATGACAACCTATATCTTAAAATCTTACAAGCCGCTTAGGAT